ACCACATTTTACCACAATAATCGATAAAAAACCACCCCCCTTTCCCCCCCCTGAAAACCCCCCCCCCCCCCCCCCAAAAAAAAGGACATGTTGCTGCTTATTTTGCATTTTATCTCACAACAGCAAATCAAAAATCACAACACACACACACACACACAGACACAAACAAATGATGACGTATTAGATGTTAAGTAACTTTCCGGGACACCAGATGAAGTTTGACTGACTAAAAGAAACAAATACATTCTTATTTCAATCCTTTGCTGTGGTTTCAAGAGGTGCTAAAAGAGCACAGAGAAGAAGCTTATTAAATAATAAATTGTATTTATGAAACTAGTAATGACTCACTATGCTGTCTTCTCACCATGTGATGAATCGTTTTTAATGACAAATAACTGCTGAGTTGTAAACAAGACCTTGTTCCTGATCATTTCATTGGTCATCGTTTTCCCCACAGTTTACTGGTTCATTAAATGTTTCGATGTTTTCAGTATACTTAAACATTTAATGGGTAAAAAGATAATTTAAAAAAAAAAACTGAAAATAGTTAATACAAACACTGTTTGTAATTATAGTTAAGTAAGGTGTTTTTGAAAAGCAAAAGCATCATGTCTGCACACATCATCTTAAACCTTTTAAATTACAAAATGTGACAAAGAAGAAGTTTGCAACATAACATGTATCTTGCATTACCTTTTTAAACATTTAAATATGAAATAAGAAACAAGTTATTTCAGATTTGGTTTTGTTTTTTGTCACACATATTTCAGATACAAGTACATTTTACATCAATAAATAAAGGAAATGCAAAAAGCAGTTTTAAAATGATAATAGAATTTATTAAGAGGATGAAGCGATCCACACCAGCCCCCAAAACCCTCCAATGGTGCTAAATTAAGATTTGATTTAAAAAACAATTTGTCAGTTTTCATAAACACTTGACTGCAGTTGTTGGCACTCAAGGGGCTCAGCCAGTTATTTGGTTTGGATACATTAGACATTAGGTGTCTGTGATTAGCTTGATGGTCTGATGTAAATATGACAAAAAGCCTAAAAAAAAATCTGCCAGGGAGCAAAATGCTTGAAAATGTTTTTATTTTCCCCATTTTTCTTTTAGGATTTGAACTGTTATTTGATTGAAGAAATGAGTTGAAGTTCCACTTTCTTTTAATTTTTTTTTCCTCCTTATGGTTAAAGTCTTTAATAGAGAAATATAATTGTTGATGTTTGGTTTTGTGTGGTTTTTGATTTTGGCTTCTTAGTTTTCAATCATTTCTTTTTTGTTGTAGTTGTTGTGTCTTCAGTTTTATGTTTTAAGTCATTCCTGTGTTGGAATATGACGCCGGCTCCGCCCTCAACGTTGGAGTAGAGCGCTGTGTCCTTTATTCTTGTTTTATTTATTTTTTTCTTAATTATCTTGTTAATTTTTCTGTGATTTTTCCATGTTGTTATTTTTGCATTTTAGCTGCCTCCTGTTCATTTATTCCTCCCAGTTTCAGATACTGTCAGGTCCCCATAATACTTTCTGTCTTGTCTGTGTACCTGTTTTGTTTCACTCTCTGTGCCACCTTACTTTGGATTTCAGCTTCACAGAGTTTGCTGAACTCTTTTTCATTAAACTCACCGTCACACAATCCTGCCTGTTTTCTGTCTGCTTTTGGGTCCTCCATCGCCACAAACCATGACAACAATATTGCTTTAAAATACGCACAATAGAATTTATGTTCGTAGTTTTGATCTTTTGGTTCACTTGTAATGCACCTAATTTTTTATGTCAAATTTCCACAAATAAATTATTTAACAAACAATCTTACATGCAGTTTTGAAAGCTAGACCATTTTTGTCTAGCTTAGTGCACTTATACTTGTGGCCTCTTCTGGTGCTTAGGTTTCTTTTATTTAAGTACTCTAATCATACAGTTCAAATTTGTAATTTTATTCTATTATTTTACATTCACTCTGTTCTAGCATAATATGTCAGGTTTTGAAAAAAAAAAAGTTTTGGAAGCTACCTTCTCTGGATAAGAAAGATGAAACCCCATTTTTTAGGGGGTGGAGGGTGGGAATTTATCATTATCAGGTATAATTACACCAGTAGTGCTAATTACAGAGAATAGTTTGTCTTTGATTAAAACAGAGCCAGGATGGTCTATGTAATAATTAAAAGGTCACTCATGTTCTTTTTAAACCAATCCTGTTATTCCCAGGGCTGAGCATGAGTGGGAATCTGAGCAGTGCAGAAACCATCTGCTGCCACCGACACTGGAGGAGAAATGAAGACTTCAAATCCACACGTGCTAGACGTTCACATTGAAGCTCTTGTTACCTGTCTAAATCTCTTGATGTTCCTCAGTGGATTGCTTTGCATGTCTTTGTCTTAATCACATCAGCGTTGTTCTTCATTCTCCTCATTCTGCAGACAGCTATGTAGTCATTTCCCCTAATCATCACTTAAGTGCTTAACTATCTCTACACTGTAAGTGCAGGGCTGAGCATTTCTGTGAGACACGTGGTTTTATGGAAGAGTGGTGAGAATTTAATAATTGGTTTAATCTGAGCTATCCTATTCTTTCCAAATCAATAAATCTTAAGATTTATCAAATAAGACACATTCATTTATAAATTAACCTATTAATTCATTAATTAATTTTAACTTATTTTTTTTATAAAACCATTATTAAAATTTTGCAATTTCTTCTGTAGCTAGCCCAATTTTTTTTATATATATATTTCTCCCCAATATTGTTGCGTCATATATTTGACCAATAGATTAACAGATAACGCTAAGATATGACGCTGGCTCCGCCCCCAACGCTGGAGTAGAGCATACCTTCAATAAACAAACAATGTTGCAGAGGTAGTGAAACTCAACGACATACATTTTTTTGAGTAGGTTTTCCTTTATCAGTCAAACACTAGGGCCAAGATGATATGCATGAAAATTCTCCAACGAGTCCTACGTCAGTTCTGTAAGGTTATTAGCGGGAAACAATGGAGAAATCTAATTTAAAGTCCAAGACTTTTGCAGCCAGAGGGAAAAAATGAGGGGCGCAAAGTCTCGTTGGATGCGAGTGTGAAAGCTGTGTCCGACGCATTTTGCACCTACAAAACAGGTGAGTATTACTTAAATAATACTGGCTTGTGAAAATCTGCCATGATGGAAATGCTTAAAAATAAACAGTAGCATAAAAATGTGCTTAAATGTAAATTCCGCGGTAACTGCGACGTTTTCATGCTGCCACAGAGCTACCATTGGAATTTACACACATAAAATATAGCATAACTACCTTCACTCATTGATCTTTTATTTCACTATCATACGGTGTCATTATGACAACAGCAACAGTTACCTTCCTGCAAAAGAACATAGTTGCCCTCTATCACGGTTTCATTCAACTGGACTTGAGTTCGGCTGCAGGCCTTGATCCATTTCTTGCATTATTCCAGACTCTGTTTGGGTTTTAGAAATGCAATGAGTTGTATTCCGCCATCTACACGCTCTCGGTGACGGCTGATGAGATTGCATGCTCCCTACTGACAATGTTTGACCATGATTTCAGATTATTTTCCTGGAAATCTCTATGACTGCAGCGGGTTAGCGATGGCTACGATGTTGCAGGTTTAGTTTCTCCAGATAAGGGGCGTGGTCTTCGGGACATATTGCGACCGCCGATTGGTCAGTTACTGACAAACCCCACAGAATGATTGGCAGATGGCATTATGTTAATTCTACGCAGTAAACAGATCGGGACGCAATACTGACTCCTGCTGGACACTGCAGTTAATTGTGTTGGGGTTAATCATTTTATTTTATTTTATTTATTTCATCGTTTCATTTTATTGCTACTATTTATTATATTTATTATATGATAAAATACTTGAGAGCATATGCATCATATTTATTCCAAGTTCTCTTTCTGAGAATATCATCACAAACTGAGTCATTTTGATCATCAATCGTTTTTATTGAATTTTTTTCTAAAATGCCAAATACATAACAGGATTTGAGAATAAATCCAAAGTTGAGTGCACAAAAATGTTTCACTGCAGGCGGTTTATGTACAAGAATGAAATCAACAACTTTTTTTTTATTATTACAGAATTCAACGGCATCAATATTTAGAGTCAATTTTATTCAACCTAATAACGTTGACAAGACTGGATTCATTTGCACAGAAGATATCTCTTAAACACGGCACATTGATTTAATGTACAAATCAGTGAATTTTGCTGAGTTGAAAGTGCATCAAAGACCACTGTGTGCTCTCTTGTTTTCTTAATTACATTAAACAATTAAACCATGTGGTCTCATAAACAGACCTGCATCTGTGAACTTCGAGAATGAACACCCCAAATATCCTCCACATACATTTACCCAGAAAATTATACTGGTTAGCAATTCCAAATTGATTGTACCAACATTGAATAATATTAGTGTCAATATAATATGAGTCATCAATCATGATTCCTAAGCAGCTTTGTTGTGGCATCAAGACTAGTCGCCACAAACGTCTGGCAAGAATTAACTTGTAAAAAAAAAAAATATTCAGTTTAAATGTACATTATCAAGACAAGTTAAAATACCAACTTGGAGCAGCTCTTTAGTTCACTCTTTCTGTTTGCCAACAGTTTTCTGGAAATGTCCCTTTCAGATGCTCAAATATGTACATTTTCCTAAAGAGACAACGTATTTGTTACGCAAGTGAACAACCCGGACAGAGAGCAATGAGTACAAACATAACCTTTGAATATTTATACACTTTTAATTCACCGAGCCTCCTCAAAACGTAATCTGGTGACGATGCCTCTACTGACTACAAGGTACAATGGATCTGAAATGCTATAATTCAGCTCGACACTATGCGTGCGATGGAAGAGAAGCCAAAAACACTTGCAAACTGTTTTAAATAAATAAAATCAAGTATGGGACAGACTATTTCTCAGAACAGATGATTCATTTTAGATACATGAGTTACCTCATCCTCTCCCCCCTCTCAATCCATCAGTAGAGAATAATGAAAGTGCTCTTGTCAAACCTGTAAAAAAATAACTTTTACACCACAACCGGGCTAAAGCTGGAGAGTTTTTTTTTTTTTGTCACAAAATTCTTGACAAATGTTTTGCTTATTGGTGGTCCTCCCCCCAGTCGCCCTGCTGCTGCTCGTCCCCCTCACCGCCCATTGGCTGGATTAGTTGTCATTTGTTGAAAGGAAGGCAGGCGGGTAGGATGACCGTGGAGCAGGCCGGGCCTGCCAAAGGCTCCGCCACCTCTCCCTCCAGCTCCGTCCACGTTCCCTTCTCTGGGCTGTAGCAGATGGTCGAAGACTTGTAGGCGCCCTGAGGAATGGGGAGAATCAGACCGTTCCTTTTATTCCTCTCAATGTTTGGATTTGTAACCTCAATCTTTCATGCTTTATTGGGATTTCATTTGATGGACCAACACATACTTGGGAGGTGGAAAATGATGAATGCTTTTAAACATTTTTAAGAAAACACTTCTGAAGAGAACAGCATGCATTAGTGTTTAATCCCCTTTACCCCGATAGCCCTAAATAAAATCCACTGCAACTGATCCCCGTCAGAAGTAATTTAATCAGTAAGCGGAGTACACACTTGTGTAATTTGATCTCAGTATAAGATACTGAGATTTATTATCAAAACTACTTTCATTGTAATGAAATAAATAATAATAATAATAATAATAATAATAATACAAACAACAAGCAAAATAAAAGGTTAACAGAATAAGCAATGAAATCAGAAAACAAAGGCTGGCCTAATATTTCAGGACAATTGTTAAGACGCATAAATTTCTAAAACATACTTTTAGAAAAGTTATGTTTTAAAAAATGAAGCATGAGCGAATGTCTGAAAGTTTGAAATGAACAAGACTAGCTTAAAAGAAAGCCTGGCTATCAGGAAGCAAAACGTGATAATATGAGGGCCAAGTGTCAAAGTGATTTTTTTCTATTATTTTACCGACTGCTTTACTACGGACTTTCATAAATGCAGCATACTTTGGAAAAGATGGACAGCTGTGTCTGGGTTTAAATGTATGAGAGTGATCACATTCCCTCTGCCGTCTGCATTTGTCACGCAGCATTTTTCTAACAGTAATTTGAAACGAAACTAGAAATAGTTTACCAAGAGAATAGTGTGTTTTCAACCACCATCAGCCACTGGATATGTCTGCTGCTTTATGTTTTTATTTACTGCAAAGTACATTTACTACCATGCTCCAGCTGTAGCCACCCACGAGGAAGATGCTATCATCCAACACGGCGCAGCCCGGACCACTGCGGCCCTCGAGTATCGGTGTCTGGAGGATGTTCCACTGGTCAGCTTTTGGGTCGTAACACTCGACCAACATAACATCTAGATGGGAGAAACCTGTCCAAGCAAAAGGAGGAAGAAACAGAAGAATGTGTAAACTGTGCAGACATTCTATATTTTACAATGAACCTTATATTCTGAGATTAAAATCAAAATCTCCCAGTAGAGAAATCAGTTTTTTTTTTTTTGTTTCTGTGTTTTCTCAGTTTTCTTTCTGCTGTTTTTGTGTGGGCATGTTGAAAAGGGCTACGTGAAGTACCTCTGTGAACAAATTTGTATTGAGAGGAACACAAATGGACAAGTAGGTCTGGTGTCATCTGGTTGCACTGCCTGGCAACTGGCACAAAAATGTAACAAAAAATATAAAGCAGTCTTCAAAAATCAAATAACTTTAAGTTATGAACAGCCCACACACACTGTTGGAACACATTCAAGTCACCAACATTTCATTCTAAACCATACATTTCTATAAAAACAAAAATGGACACTTTGTCTCTAAGAGCATGTAAGGACATTTGCAAAAAAAAAAAAAAGCTTGCATTTACTTTCTGTCTGCAGATTGAAAGATTTCTTTCATCAGTTCTGTTTCAGATTTTGCATTCTGAATGGTAGAATAAGGGTGCACTAGTTGACGAAGGCCAGCACCTGGGCATAGCAGCCAAACAATTTGTATACAACTGTAACAAAGAGCACAAATCGCGACCCTTTCTCATTTCCTGAAAAGCCTGAGCGCTCACCTTTCAAATGGTTTCCACCGATGGCATACAGACGATCGTTCATCCCAGCCAGGACGTGAATGGCGCGCTTTGTGTTCATGTCCTGTTTTCTAGCCCAAACATCCATTACGGGGTCATAGCAGTAGAGCCAGGACACATACTCGCCATTATGCACTCCACCTGTAACATGTAATCACAACCCTGTGTTGCTAATACAGTCAAAATATAACTTGGTTGCAAAAACGCAGTGCTTGTGCTTTGCGCGATATATAACGAGGTAAAACCATTCAATGAAATAAATGCAAGGAATACCTAATGATTTTAAGGCATGGAGAGAGATTATACATTTTTGTTACAATCACATTTGCCTCTATAGGGGTATATTTGGATCTTTTGCTGAGTAGACGCTGTTTATTTAAAAAAAAAATTTTTTTTGTCTTTTTACTCTAATAGAGCATGATGTGTCACATTTAATGGCTGCTTCTCCCATCTGTTTTGTTCAAACAGGCTTGTGTCTTTGTTTGCATGTTTTAATGTCGCCACTATGACTGGAGTACAGATGAGTCAGTGCTACTAAGATCTGGCAGAAAAAAAATAAGGTTTCAGTTTGTGACATTCTGCATTTTGAATGACGGATCAAATAAAAATGAAAGGCCCCTCAAGCAAACATGTACTCTCAAAACAAATAATACCAGGAACCAGGGTGGCTGTGAAGATTTTACATTAGCATGATTGAGTAGATTTTAGTCTACCTCCTTTTGTGTTACTAAATACATCAGCAATTGAAAAACAGAGTTTGTTCTTGCTTGTCCTGCACACTCTTAACACTGTGCCCTGAACACATCATCCCCACCGTGAATATGGGGGAGACGATTTGTTTTTCAGAGACGGAGAGAGAGGTGGGATAAAGTTGATAAGAATGTGGATGTATGTGTCTATATACAGCGGAAATCCTCATTCAGCAGGATGAAAATATGGCTGAATACTATAGATCAAAGCATATTTGTGAGTTGAAATGGCTCAACCGAAGTCCTAAATCCAAGTGAAAGTCTTTAGCGAGACTTGAAAATTGCTACTCGGAAAAGCTCTCCATCCTAACTGAGTGACCCGTTTTGCAAATTGCAGAGTAATGTAGGGATCCTGCGGTGGTGAACAAAAATGCAGTCCACACTTTGAAATGTTTATTTTGTTTGAATTACAGTTTTCAGCTGTAATGTGGCAAATATGAAAAAGGTTCAAGAGGGATGACTACAGTATCATTATAAAAGCGTTGCCGTTTTAACATTCATGTTTTATTTTATATTTGTTTGTTTCAACACAGGTTTTTAACATAAAATGACGTTGATGCGTTTCAAAGGATGCAACTGTAGATATGCAAAATTTACAAGACAGAGCCGCTTGTCAATGTTGTCTGTGGCTGCATTTAACAGTGGAAAACATGTGGGGGTGTGCATTGAAATTCAAATGCAGCTGGATTATGACATCTATTAAAGAATTATTCTGACTCACTTTAAACTTTTTTTCAATGCAACATCATGATGTTCCTTTGCCTGAAGTGTAACATATGTTATTTATGCAAGATTTTTTTTTTTTAAATGTAATTTCTGAGCTTCTGTTTCAGTAATAGTTTTCCAATTCATCGTGATTTATTGTGATTAAACACCTGACATCTTGCACCAGCAGTATGCCGTATAAAGCAAATGACTGGTAACCGTTGCTTACAGGTAACCTATTTTTTTCCTGACCTGATATGTAGATCTTGCCATTATGCACCGCTCCTGCATGTGCAGCTAAAGGCTGTGGCAGAGATGACACGTAATTCCACTCGTTCGTCTCCAGGTTGTAGGACTCCACGCTGGAGAGGTAGCCCGTCTCGTTCCGACCTCCGATTACGTACAGGTGCTTGTCCAGGCGGCAGGCAAAGAAACTGGCTCTCCTGAGGAGGAGGAGGAGGAGGAGGAGTCAAACATGCAATATCATCTATAACCCCCTATCACACTTTTATGCTTCTACCTTCTCTGTTTTGATGGAGGGGATGAGAACATAAGAAATGAACACACATCTCTTTTTTTACATATAAACTGTAGAATGTCACTAGATAAGTCAGGTTATCGCTGATTTTTCAGATAAGTGGAAACCACGTGTCTCTCCACCCATATGGTTGGTCTTCTTTGTCAGTTTTGCAGTTTTGGTTTCAATAAATTCGACCACACAATTAGGATACTATTTTGAGATATCCTTTTTAGAGAGCAAAACTACCCAGGAACAAGTGGCTGTTGGCTTCTCCAAATGCCAAGCCGTGAAGTGTACACCGCAGTTGGATGCCACTGCTTTAGGATCAATGCAACTGCCAAAAATGACTTTAAGTGCTGCTTCAATTTAAAGGTAAAATCTATCTTGTGAGCTAAGACCTGTGTTACAAAGTGAAAGACATTCAAGAAATGCTGTGTGCTCTTCAAAATGTGAGCAAACTTCTTTGGCAAACTGTTCTTTTCCTGGAGTGAAAGAAGCTGCATTATGCACATAGTTAAAAAATATATTATTTTTACTCAATTTTCTCTGATGTTTACATTTGGCTCTTTTCTAAACCTGTCTCTTTTAAATTTAGACGAAAAAGTTACAAACCTTTCCTGCATGGGAGGCAGCTGAATCCAGCTGTTGAATCTGGGGTCATAGCGGCTGACGAAATTAGTACTGTGCTTCCCTGGAAACAAACAAACAAAAAAAAAAGAAATCAAAATAAGTGGTACCATTCAAATGATTTCAGTTTTATACTAGTTAAAATGATTTGGTGAGAATAAAGCAGAACCAAAGTCAAATTTCTTGTTTGTGTACATAAATTTGACAAAAAAAAAAAAAAAAAAAAAAAAAGGTTTTTTCTGTTTTTGGGGGGGGGGGAGGAAAAAAAAACTTTTTTTGTAAAAATTATATTTA